ACACCCTCCCCCAGTGCCAGAAATGCTGATTGGAACCTACCACAAGATAGGTTAGTATAGCCTATCTGAATAAGATATATAGCTGTGCCCATTAAGCACAGTCCTTTTCACTGCCAACTCTTTCATGTCATGGTGAGCCACAACATTGCATGCCAATGTCAGCCCCTCCTTTAGCCTGGCACATATGATGAGTGTGGTCCTGCCCTCTGTGAGGTAAAGCCCCAGACCAGGTTGCCCTGTGCCTCATCTGTGTATACATTTTTGAAGTATCCCAGGACTTGTGGCAAAAACACTCAGTTCCAGTCATAAGTGGGGGCTAATTAGCACATAGATCCTTTTTTATTTGGGGGGGGGCAGGGGGGCTGAGAGTAATGAGAGAAGAAAGGGGCTGCTAAGGGAAAAAGTTATGCGGAAGCAGAAAGCAAAGGACTACCTGACCCCCCTTATTAATTTTCCCTGTTGTAGCAGTCAGAGGAGCACAAATTTAAGGCAAACATCGAATAATTAGATTTTATACCTGGAAAATTATAACAGATTTATACATTTTCCATGTATAGCACCTAATTATTGGGGGTCATCTTATAATCAGGATATAATTTAGTATATAAATTAAGGGTATTTTTCATTCAGATACAGGATCTCTGCTGATGGGATTGGCAAATTCACAAATATTTGATGCCCCAGAGAGGTCTCATTGAAGTGATTTTACTTTCACAGTAAACAGATGAAGTAAGCTGCAGGATAAAGTTTGGCAATGTAGCTTCTCACTGAAAAGCAGAATTCAAAGGGTGGTGTTTTAAACACTTAATTAGAATAAATCTGTTGGAGAGGAAATGAACAGAACAAATTAAAGCACTTTTTATTTAAAGTGAGCAAAAAGTATGGTTTCCCTTATAAATGTGAGAATGTATTTCATACAGTTCTCTTTACTGTGATTTTTGGATTCATATTGTTTTGCAGCAAGGTATACAAATACTTCACCAAATATTAGCTGTATTCTACCTAAAACAGTCTGCCCTCTTTTGTTAGCAGATTGACTGAACTACTGCTGCAATACCTAGTCTGCTGTGTTGTGGTCTGATAGATAGGTTACCTAGAAAAAATATATATGTTTTTGACCCAGACAAAATAATTATTGATAAAATGTATTTAGTAACCTATTACAGTGGTAAATGAAAAGGGAAAATGATGAACTTAGCAGATTTATAACAATTTAACAACCAGTTATCAGAAATAATAAACCAGTTTCAGAGGATTATTGAACAATGTTGTCCTCTTTTATTTAAAAAAATCTTTCATTAGACTGACCACAGAAGCTACCTTGCTTCATTTTCAAATATAATCACAACAAATTGTAGTAAAGCAAATATAATTTTGTCAAGATAGCAGAGATATAATAGCAAATAAAAACAAAAAAATAGGTAAGTGGAAAAGGTTATTTAGGAAAGTGTTACAAAGATTCAGAATTTAAAAGCATTTTTGTTAATTTTTTTTAAAAAATGACAAGAATTGTTCCCATTTTAATTTCTTAAACTTTGATCCTTGAAATGTGCTTAGTTTTAATACATGAACACCTCTGCTTATATTACTTTTATTAATAACAGTAATAATAATAACAAAAATATCTATGTATATATTTTCAGAATGGGGGTATTAGTGTGTCTGTTCTTGATATGAAATATTTTGAGTTATGCTCTTGTTTACCGTGTGTGGCAGGAGTTGAGGGAATAAAGGAGGTAGTAAGATGTGCCTTTTATAACTAGAGTTTTCTTTTTGGTGCCACTAATTAGTTATTTTAACAAACTAGAACTAAAACATGAGACAGAGCCATGTGTGAGAACTTCTTAATGCAAAATGCAAAAACCTGCTTTTGGTTAATATGGTTTGCCATGTATAGGAAGCATGAAGGGTGGAGGAGCCACAATCCAGTGCGGTTAAAGGTTGTGGAGAATGTGGAAACTGCTTTTTTAAACAAATTCCCAATTACCATAATACAAGCCCCCCCGGCCCAGAAGTCAAAGTGGAGATAATTGTGTTTACCAAACACATATACAAAAATATTGTCAAAGAGCTCCGAGGCTACACAGCAAAACAGACACCAATACAACAAAATATAATACGTTATTATGTATTACATTGTAAAATACTGCTATAAAAAGAAGGAAAGCCATTGGAAATAAGTGTCACAGCAAAGAGTAAACTTCCAGTGTGTGGGGGAGGAGAGGAGCCGGCATGCCCTAAAACCCCATGCCGTGGCGCTAATAGAGCCGCGGTATGCCCCGCGGCACAAAGTCCCAGGGCCAGGTTACTTACCCTCCGCAGGTGTGCCCAGGAGGAAGGGCTCGCAGCAGCTCGGGGCCCCATAAAGGAAATGCCGACTGCCGCCGGCAGGGAGGAACTGGAAGCAAGCGGCGGTGGAGGAAAGGCTGGCTGGGACCCTTGGGAGTGAAGGGAAGTAGCCCAGCACCGGAGTCGGGTCTTCTGGGGTAAGGGAAACCCCTGCGGGTCCGGGAGCCAGGAACCTCCGGCGTTGCCATCCCTGCAACTGCAGACGCCGCGGAAGAGCGGTTCGTCCCGGCGGGAGCCGGGAGCCATATTTACCTTAATAGAGGAGCACAGCAAAGAGGTGAATAGACCTCAACAGTGCCTAAAGGGATCGAGGGTCCCCAGGGAACCTGGAAAGGGACTGAAAGGCCTGAGGAGCACCTGAGGGAGGGCACTGACGCCCACAGCGGACAGGGAGACACCCAGGGGGCCATCAAGGTGCTCAGGCCACCCCCGGTGGGTGAGAAACCCTAGCTGTTAACTTTGTGTTGTTATTTACCTTTTCCGTGGTGGAATCTGTGTTAACGAACTGACGAGGGACACATGTGATGGGCGGTCCCTTTAATTGGGTGGAACGGGCGAAGGTGTAGGGGCGGCGGAACCCTCGGCTACATGGGACACCCCAAAGACCCCGGAGTCTCAACTTCAGACTGACACACGTTGGACAATAAACACTGAACCAGGTGATCATCAAAGTCATGGCAGGCGGTCCGGACGTGTACAACCGACGGGGAGCAACTCTGAGTCGGTCATAAGGGGAAGACCCTGAAGAAAGGGGCAGGGTTTGCCGAAAACAATAGACAGCAACCCCTGCCCTGGACACAGTGCTTTTGCATCTGTCTGTGTCTTCATGCCTTGAGAATGTTCTTGAATGTCATAACTTTTATATTGAGAAAATAAGCAACATTAAGAATAGGATAAACCACTTAGGTCTTCAGGTCTCCTTTTCTAAATGGATGCTTAAGATCTGGTTAATTTTTCACAATGCCAAGCTAGGATTTGCCAGACTTTGTTTGATCTTGTATCCCACCCACTATGTCTCAAATCATTTTATGATTGCAAAAATATACATATAATATTTATTATTTACCAGTGTTACACTTCTTTAATTATAATTCAACTATACCTCTCTAAAATTTCTAGCATTTATTTACCACTTCACCTTTTCAGAGCAATAATAGCATAAACTAACCCTTACGATATGCCTGTGGCAGTGGTGGGTAATTATTTCGGGCGGAGGGCTGCTTACCAAGTTTTGGCAAGCTGTCGAGGGCCTCGTGGGTAGCCCTGCCCCTTCACAGGTGCCCTGCCCCCTGGTTGCCATTTTACGACTGGAAGTCCCTCCCCCTAATCCCTCCCCTTGCCCCCTGAAGTACTCCTTTCAGCAAGGGGGCTTGCCATCTCAGAATCAGAAAAATACCAAATTATATTCTAAAAAGCAAACATCTACAACATTCATTAATTGATTTAAAATATATTTTTGTCTTTGTTTACATGTGTTTGTATAGTGTACGCAGAGGTGATTGTATATAATTGCTTAAAATGAAGTCTCATTCTTGTATATTGTGGAGGGTATAGGTTTGTGGGGGGCTGAGGATGTGTGGATGTGGTGTTTGGGTGGGTATGGGGTTTATGGGAGGTTGTGTGTGGGGGAGGGTGGCTGGGAGGTGTGGGTGTGGGGGTGTGAGTCTGTGACAGTGGGGGGGTGCATGTGTATGGTGGGGTGTGTGTGTGGATCTCACTCTACGAACATACACACATACTCTGTCCCTCCCTATACACACACACACACTCTGCCCCTCCACACACACACACACACACACACACACACACACACACACACTCTGCCCCTCCTTACACACACACACACACATATGCTGCACCTCCCTACAATCCCCCCACCCCCTCAGTACTGGCAGTGTGAGGGCAGGGAATTGGCTGGAGATGGGGTGGGACTGGGCTGCTTGGTCCTGCTGGCTCCCCCTGGGTCCTACTGCCCCTGGCTCCTTTCATCTTTGACAGGCAGCCAGGAACAAATAAATACTAATTTACTAAATTTTTTAGGGGCCCTGCGGGCTGGATAGAATGGCCTGGCAGGCTGGATTTGGCCTATGGGCCAGAATTTACCTGCCCCTGCTCTGTGGGTATGCAATGTACAAATTATCTCTGCTGCATAGATGCAGGAAGGGAGGTTAAGATCAATAATCTGATTTTTAGGTCAATGTGTAATACATCCTTGGGAGATATAAATATCAGTGGAACTGCTACTTGTCAGCAACTTAAAATTCAGGGTATAAACATGTTAAGGACCACTGAGGGTGTGAATGTCCAAAGTGAGATTAGAATGTTGAAGTTCATGACTCCAATCCCATTCACAGGAGAGCAGAATAAGGAATGTGCAGTTTTCCATAAACTGCACAGTGGTTTGTTGAACAATCCTAAACAATGCATCTTCCATTTCCAAATACAATAGACAATTCTAATTGGTAACTTCTTAATGTTAATGTTATCCATATTCTTGAGTTTTGTATTCAACTGAAGTTAGCTATTTTTTATATATTTCTGAATTGTGATGTTCATCTAGAATATCTATTTTCTATATTTCATATGTAAGAAACCCAAAGCTGATCATTAAGTGGCTTTCTACTGTTCTAATTGTACCATTTTTTCCTTAGGGTTGAAGACTTACCTGATATCTGGTCAGAAAGTCAAGGAGCCCCATTGCAGTTGTGCACAAGCATTGCTTTCTGGCCTGGAGTCAGGGGATGGTACCAAGGTACAGGCAGTGCCATCAGTGGAGAGCATTGGTGACATGACGAAGACTCTCAGGCACTCACAAAAACTGAAGGTTAGTCCATTAAAAAAAAAGTTGAAAAAAATATTTTAAAAATCCTAGTCATCTAACAAAGTTATTGGCCAGGTTTTTGGAAGAGTTGCTGCTTGCTTGCTTGTTTATTTTTATATACAACTAGGGACCTACCAAAATAAATGAAGCAGGCAGGCAATTTTATGGCCTGATTGCGGTGCGCGCAACCATTTTCGTGATTTTTTTCACAGCAAGGCCCCCCTATGCTGCTGAATGGCTGTGTAGCCCTAGTGGAGACCCCACCCCTCACTGATGATTGGCCATGGGGGCTGCCATTCATGTGGTTCCGCCCCTCTCCACTGATTAGGCAGTCCTCTTGGTCAGTCAGCCATAGAGGTTGGAGGTTGCAGCCACCATCTTGGCTCCCTTTCTGTGTGTCAGTGGCTGTGAGAACTGCTGGCTTCTACTGGGAGCAACATATTTTCAATAAGTTTGTTCCCCCCACCCCCCACCAATTCTGCTGAAAATCGTGGAGTATGCTGCTGTTCACAAAAACCACCTCAAATTGTGGCTTCCGTGAAAAACAAAATCATGATTTGAGTAAGTTCTTATATATAACATGACTAAAAAAGGACCAAATAAAAAGCAAAATGAAACATCAGCAGGGATCCTTGTTTTCCCTTTTAAAAAATTGTGAATTCTCTGATAAAAACTTGCAAATTCTCTAATAAAACCCCCCAAATCCATGATTAAAATAAAAGGCCTCACACATAGCCCCTGCAGCCTTGCTGGTACCCCTCACCCTGCACCAACAGGTCCTGCTCCCCCTGCCCCTGGCAGGAGGTGGTGCTGCTGCAGAGGAGCAGAGCTCACCTCCCCCCTGCTGTGGGCTCGGGTGGGGAGGACGACTCTCCACCGCAACATGCACTCCTGGGGAAAGGGGGGGATCTGCACCCCCCAGATACGTGCGCAGGGCAGGAGTGAGAGTGGGCATGGGCTGCAGGCTCTAGCTCCCAATCTGCTGCCCTCCCCCAAGGCCTCCACAGCCCAGTGGGCTCGACCTGGCATGCCAGGGAACAGCAGGCACACAGTAAAGCTGCTTTCTGCGCTACCCTGCAGTGAAGGCAATGGCATGAGGTTGTGCCCGTCTCTGCATGCCATGCAGTTGGGATGTATCGCCAGGGCAGTGCAGAGCTCGCAACTGCAAGTAGCTTTCCTGCACTGCCACACTGGGTCATGCCCATCGGGTTGCGGAGGCCCTGGGGGGGGCGGCAAGATAGGAACCCACCCCCAGCCCACGCACAGATCTGAGGGACGCAGGTCCCCCCTGCCCCCAGGAGTGCACGCCACAGCAGGAGGCCACCCTCCCCTAGTCAAGCCACCTGTGGCCCATCTAGCTCCCCACTGGGGTCCTGTAGCTGCACATTGCGGCCCCGGGCCCTGGGCCCCAAGCCACACACACTGCCTAGCTGGGTGGCAGCCCCAGCCCTGCCCAGCTCTCTTCCACCCTCCCTATAGGGGCGTCAGTTTCTTCCCTCCCTCCCTCCC